GGTTCATTTATTTCTCGAAGATATTCTATCAAATCGGTCCATAACCACTCACATGGATTTATGGTAATTTTTACGCAGAGTCATTAATGTACAATTTAAAAATTCTTCAAAGCAACACTTCAAATCGTTAATAATGATCTCTTCCATTTTACAAAGAGAACTACAGCGCCATGCTTTTGTGATTTTATGTTTTGATTCTAATAACGGTAAAATGTTAATTGCTTTACCTTCGGAATCCATTATAATAGGTTCAGAAACGTTATATGTATAATAGGTAGTTTCTGTAAAATATAATTCCGAAGAAGCGTTATGTTTATCTTGTCCACAAAACATATTTACATATTCTGTGAATTTTGATGAAGAACATTCCGTTGCACGTGTCAAACAAACTTCCATTTTCTGTTTTACGCACGAGCAGTGAGTGGGGGGCAATAGGCGTGAGCCACGGAATCGGGCCGAAATGTGCAAGTAAATCCCAGCACTGTCTTTAGTAATGTTATTAATACCAATACTATCTTTTATATTATTTTCATTGAATGCATATTTATGATTAATTTGTTTTGAATCAATTACTTCTGCGATTTGAGGAAAATGGTCTATTCTATTCGATTGAACCATTTCTGCTAAATGCTGACGCATTAAATTATGGTTATATATAATTCTGTTTGGTTGAAGATCAAATAAAAGGGATACTGCAAAGGCTATTGCAAAAACCCCGCAATCATTACCATTAGGTTGCAATTGAACTGTTGGAAACTGTACTGGTTGCTTATCAAAAAAATAAAATGGGTACAATTTTTCAAGATAAATTTTGTGGTGTACATGTAATCGTTTCATATTCAATGAGTCATAAATATAAATCATTTTAGTATCGTAATAACTGCAAACCCAATGACCGTCTAAATTAGTCGCCATATTGCTGCAGCTATGCAATATTTGAATATGTTTCTGATTTTTATGAACAGGTTCAATTCTATTGACGTTGAATTTTCCATGGTTCGCGAGATTGATATTCTGAGCAACTTTTCAATAATAAACCGAAATACTCAATATGAATATCTTCTAACCATTCATCTCTAAGAATAATCTGTATATACTGCATGCTTAGAGATAAAATATTTGCAACAAGATTTGTATATTTGTGTTCGTTCATTTTTGTTATGCAAGAACTGACATCTGACAACGTATTTTCCTGAATACATGTATAATCTTTTTTAATATTTTGTGTTTTGTCTGCAGAAATATGCAGTGATGAAAAGGAATTCTTAAAAGTGCCATGAATAGAATTCTCAACATTGTTACGTTCATTTACAATATTATTATTTTTATTTATTATATTATAATGATCAAATGGATCTTTATCATGTTTTTTTACTGCTTGCTGTATTGTCATTTCAGTTACATTATTTTTTAATTTTATTAAATCTACAGACTTTTCTTGTTCAGCTTTTTTTTTGTCGACGTTCTCGTTTTTTTCTAGCTAAAGCTTCCCTTTTTTGTATTTCATCCAAAGTAAATAATTTTTTTGGATCATTAGGTCTTATAATTCGAGGAAAATGTTCTATTTTTTCTAATTGAAACATATGTGCCAAATGTTGACGTATTAAAGTATGGTCATACATAACTGCATCTGGTCGAAGGCCAAATAAAAGTGATGTAGCAAATGCAATTGCAAAGACACCGCAATCATTAGCATTACATTGATTTTGAACTGATGGAAATCGTATTAATTTTTTATCAAAAAGATAAAATGGATACAACTTGTCAAGATATATCTTATGATATGCATGCAAGTGTTTTAAATTCAATGAATCGTAAATATAAATAGCTTTTGTACCATAATAGCTACAAACCCAATGCCCATTTTTATTAGTAATCATATCGCTACAACTATATAATATTTGAATATGTTTCTGGTCTTTACGAACAGATTTGATTGTATCGGGACATTGCATTCTCCATGTTTCACGTGGTTGATACTCTGAACAAGATTTTAATAATAACCCAAAATGATCAATATGAATATCTTCTAACCATTTATTTTCAATTATTATTTGCATTGCATAAGTATTCAGAGTTTGGGTATTATCGATTACTTTATTAACAAACATAACAAATCGAATTACACAATAAAAGATTATTTATTACTTATTACTATTATTATTATTTAATTATTTAACAATTATTTGTAATACTTTAATTTCAATATTTTTACTATAAATATTGTTGCTAACTAAGCAAAACAAGACTTAATACAAGCTAATTCTTTTACTCAGCGCTGATAGCAGCCGATTTTTTTTTAATACAGCGCTTATAGCAGCCAAATTTTTAATATATATAAATATTTATGGCAGCGGAAATCCAGCGCCAGAGAACAGCTGATATAATAATAAATAACCTGCAAATAAAAATATTTTGTTAATTATTAAATGCCATAATAATATCACATATAAATATATTTAATTTTAATACCTTAATAATATTTATGTCAAATATCTGCCACTGGTACCACGTCCAAAGCCTGGTCCAAAGCAATATATTTTTATGGTACTTTTATATAGTATTTTTATAGTACTTTTATATCTGTAATATAATAAAGGCTATAAAATAAAATAGTGACGTACAAATAAATATTATTATACCTCAGAATCGTTGTCGATTAGTAATCGTGATTGTCGTGATCGTGATTGTCATGATCGCCGTGAACACAGATTACGATTATAACCAAACTACGTAATCGTAATTGATATAATCGTAAGACCATGATATAACGTATTATAGAACGAACTTAAAACGGGCGAAGAATAAATATTACTATGATGACACAACATGATAATGCTCTGATGATAACATAAAAATAAATACTCGGCGTCACGACGCTACCGCATCGTTTGATACGCGTTGCTTAACAGCCAATGAGAAACAATGCTTTCTCATTGTTCATGCAAGTTACAGATCTATATAAATTATCGATCAATGATTCAATAAATCGAAACAACATGGCTGAAGAAAGAGCACACGAGGTAAGTAATATCTTTTATTCTTTATATTTTATTAAAATTTATAAATAATTTTGCTATAATAATATTCTAATATTCTTATTTAAAATTTTAGATGGACGTAGACGATGACGACTTCTTAACGAAATTTTCGTTAGAATTGGGTGAGGAGGATCATACGAGTCCCACAAGCTACGCATTTGCCGCGACTCAAATTGATCCTGTCGCCGCCGATCCCGTTGCTGCTGATTCCGTCGCCGCCAATCCCGTCGCCGCTGATCCCGTCGCCGCCACCGGCCCCATGGCTGCTGAATCAGTCGTTGCCGCGGTTCCTGTCGCCAGCCCCGTCTCCAGCTCCGTCGCCGGCCACACCGCCGGCAACCCCGTCGCCGGCAATCCAGCTGCCGGCAACCACGTCGCCGGCTGCATCGCTGGCAATCCCGTCGCCGACCGCATCGCCGGCAACTCCGTCGCAGGCCGTATCGCCGGTAACCCCGACGCCGGCCGCATCGCCAGCAACCCCGTCGCCGGCCGCATCGCCGCTGATTCTATGGCCGCGAATCTTGCCGCCATCGGCCCCATGACTGTCAAATCAGTCAGGAATCCTATCGCCGGCCTCATCGCCAGTAACCTCGTCGCCGGCCACGTCGCCGGCAACCCTATCGCCAGCAACCCCGTCACCGGCAATCCCGTCACCGGCAACCCCATCAGCGCTAGCCCCATCGCTGCCGGTCCCGTCGCGGAAGATAGGCAATGTAATTATTTTTAATATACTATTTTAATATACTGCATATACTTCTATTAATATTATTTTTATCTATATTGTATAGCTCGAAGACCAAGAGGTAGAGCTGCAGGCATACGAAGACAACAACAATATTTTATGCGGTTCCTCTACCAACTGGCCTTCTCACAATATTCATGGGGCGCAAGAGGAAGAGGACGAGGACGAGGATTTAGAGGAACAAATTAGGACCACCGCACAAGCTTTTCCGTAATGCAGTACGTTACGTTAAGTACTGATTCTAAACCTGTACTCGTATGTAACCTTAAACTTCAGTCAACGCACAGAGAAAATCGTAACCGTAACATAGCAAAAACAGTTACGATTTTCTTTGTGCGTTAACTAAAGTTTAAAATTACGTATGAATTTAAGTTTAGAATCAGTACTTAACGTAACGTAACGCAGTACGGAAAAGCTTATGCGATGGCCCTTAATTGTTGGAAGTGCTGCCGTAGAAGATTTAAGCCAAAGATATTTAAGTTATTTTTTTAAAATTATTTTTAGTTATTTTTTTATTATTTTTAATATTTGGTTTAAGATAAAATTTATTATTAGTATTTGGTTTAAGATTTTAATAATTGATAATGCCAATTCCGTATATTTTTTTAAGTTCAACATTTATCGATTTGCATTTAATATTATATGCTTTACGTTTAATTTGTTCTTGGATTTAATTCTTTTTTATTGCATAATATGTATATGATATACAATCTTATATGTGCTACTGTATAAAACAACTTTTTTATTTTTTAAAACGATTTTGTAAACCAACTTTATTGTATATGTTAGGTTTATTATTAACTGTAAAATTGGATCGTTTTGTGCCTTCTATGTAAAAATTTATATCTTTATAAATAAATCATATTTTATAACAACTTGAAATCTGATCTGATAACTTTTTATTTATATAAAATTATTAAATATTATTTATATTGTTAGCATTATTTTCTTCACAATTTTCTTTGGTATTTGGAAAGTATCACGGTATCCACATCAATAACTAAAATTCTTTTTTGAAAATTTCCAATTTTTCTAAATCGCAAAAAAAGCATTAGAATATAATAAATCAGAATAGAACAGGATAATAGAATAGGATCAAGAGATATATTGGAATTACAATATATATATTAAAGTTATGATTACATAAATATATAAATCAAATACAATTTTTTTTTAAATCACACTTAATTCGCAATAATGATAATAATAATAATAATAGTTCTTATAAATAAATAAGCAATAAATAACGTTTGTAAAGCCGTTGTTTGAACGAATGCCGCTGTTTAAAAAGAGGTCGTCTCCCAGGTCCAAACAGGTGCCAAAGTCGCATTCGGTTGCAGTTATTGTCGCTAATCTTACGATCTCTCGTCGAGTTTTGCGAACGATGTCTTTCTTTCATTCAAAGTATCAGATTCCTCTATTTCTTTTATTAATATCTTCTGCAGATTGTCTGTAATATATAAATGTAATCAAACTGTATTATTAATTATATATCGCAGAGAAATTTAATTGCAAATTAAATATTGAAGTGTATCAATGTATTATCAATGCATCCAATTGTACTTACTGTCTGTTGCTGTCAAATCTCTATAACCTAACTGACATGAGTCGTCTTCTATCAAGAGACTACAATGCTCTATAAAAGGATCGTGCCACAACTCATTTCTTTCTCTTCTCGAAAGAATTGATTGATTTCGTTTTATCCTGCAAATAAGCGTTATAATTTAGACAATATCAAGAAATAATTAAGACACCTTGCTATTTGGGAAATATAGTTATATTACGCTAATTATACTTATCTTAGTTATATTACTATAATTATATTATGCTGTTTAACAAAGTTTTTCAGCTGATTGCAGGTGCATTACACCGGTCTTCTTGAAAGGATTGACTGATTTCGCTTTATCCTGCAAACAAGCATTATAATTTAGACAATATTCAGATATAATCAAGAAATAATATATAAAATAATAAATAAACATGTATAAGCAAATATATATATTAATTTCCACGAAATTTTCAATCTACTTATAGCATCAAATATATAACATTATCATCAAATATATCTACAAGTACAACAAGTACAATTTTTATGTCATAATGTTTATTATATCATCTATTTGATGATAATAAACCATTTATAGTGTAATAAGAAGCGATAATTACCTGATCCATATTATTGTAAAATTGAACATGTCTGCATAATTGTCTGCACTAGTCTGCAGCGTACAATTTTCTCCATGTGTGATTATTCTCGCTATTATAACCTTTTTATTAACACTATATCTTAGCGTCACGACGTTATCGCGCTACCATGTACTCACGTACTGCGTACTCGCACTGCTCGCGCATCGCGTCGCTTGATACGTCTCATATACATATGCACGCACATACACAAAATTGTCTCTCAAGGCGTATTTGCACACTCAAGCATAAAATCATACATGAGCGCTGCAAACGCGCCTTGAAGGACAAACTCGCTTTGCGTGTGTGCGTGCGAGCATACGAACGTGAGAGTCTGAAATATCTTTATTAAATAAAAGAATTTAAATATGAACCGGGTATCTACTTCGAAAAAATGGGCAAGATAAACTAAATCGAATCCACATGGAAAATGGTGATAAAACTAGACATTGTCGCAATGGACCATCGACATAAACAATTGAGAAACTATACGGCACAGACATCTTCGGCACAATGGACGCAGACGACGAAAAAATTATAAAGGAGCAATTAAATCTCGTGCAAAGGAATCAGCAAACGCTGCAGCAAGCGATGAAAAATCAGATTAAAATATTAAACGCAGCAATTGCGCATGTGGATAATGTTGAAAAAGTTCTGCAAGAAAATGAAGAACAATTCTGAAATATAACAGAGAAGATGCGACAAGCCTGGATACAAACAGAAGCCGGATATGGACAACGAGAAGATCTCGACGAACACTTCATAATATTAAATGCCATAATAAAAGATCTAACGAACGATCTTATGGACATTATCGCGCATCTGACGAACGCGAAAAAAGAGATAATCGACATAAGATTATTACCCATCGAAAGCATTCTAGATAACATGAAGGAAACAGCGTCACAAATACCGCAGGGAACGCACTTCCCATTTCAAATATCCGCAGAAAATTGGAGAACAATCGAAAAGTTCTTAACACTTAGCGCATACTACGATAATACAAATATATTTACGATTATAAAAATTCCGCTGATCACATACCCCGAGTATGAAATAATAAAGTCAATCCCATTACCTACGCACAAATTTAATAACACATTTATATTTATAGAAGTAAATCAACCGATAATAGCGATAGACGTAGATAGTCGAACGTATTTTACGCCTACCGAAAACGATCTAAATAAATGCGTGCGAAATAATGATCAATATGTTTGCGAATAAAATTATCCCATACATTACTTAGACGAAAGAGCGCTATGCGAAGTACAAGCATATGTACAGTTAGAGACATACACAAACAACTGTAATATTCGACACATATACACAAATACAACCATATGGATAGCGTTGAGTAATGCGAACTCATGGTTATACTCTACACGAGCAAACTAACCGATCGAAATAACGTGCGAAAACGACGCAACGCGAAAACTAGAAATAAAAAGAAGCGGACAAATCACATTAAAGGAAAAATGTAAATTAACGACGCAAGACGTCATAATACGAACAAAAAAGCCCGCAATAAAAACAATCGTACAGACAAATCTACCAGATTACAATCTTACGATGATACATGACATACGAAACGAAAAAATACTGGACAAAATTAGACCGATAAAATTACGAAAAGTCATTAGAAACCCGACAGAATTAAGGAACCTAAGCGAAAGACTTGACGAAACAAACGAAGACTTAAATAACAATTATTTTACTACTAACAAACACGTTATATATCCCGTAGCTTCAAGTTGCACAGGAATAATAATAATAATAATAATTACCATAATAGCAATTATATACGCCAAGAAAAAATATAAGACAGAAAAGAAAAAACTACCAGAAACTAATATAAATCCGATGTGCAAACCGAAAATAATTCAAGAGCACATCTACGGCACCGCAAGCGAATCAAATGTAACAGTAGAGATAGAAACCGACACCAC